TATCTTCTTTACAGCTCAGAATTCTTTTAAATGAAGCAAAAGTAACCTAACAGCCTGATAGCTACCCAGTGCCATGTTGAAATACATCTCTTAATAAATTATCTGTTGAGAAGGGTATTTTTTAAATGGTACAACCCTCAAAATTCACTGTAAGAATATTCAGCTATTTTCTGCCTCACATTTGAACTTTTGTATTTTTTTTCCCAGTCACTTTTAACTGATTTCATTTTAATTAATTTATTTATTTGCTATCTTTTTACTAACTTTACTGATTTTGCTATTTCAAATGTCTTAATTTTAATGATATTGCCAACACTGTGAGGCTAAGGAAATATCAAAATTCATGTCCTTAAAACATGTCGTTCATTAACAGGAAGAAGACAGGATAAGGAACTAATGTTCATTTGATATTATTATGTATTTATTTCAGTGCTCACAGGGGAAGCCAGTATATATTTCACCTCCAGAAGTAAAAAAAAATCATTTCATACTACTTAAAATATATCTGAAATTCATAAGAATAAAAATCTTCTGAAAATGCAGGCAATCTGAATGGAAGAAAGTGTCTCTGGTTAAGTTAGTGTCACTATCCAAGAATCACATTATCGGGTTATAATCCTGTTAAACACTGTCTAAGAGAAGTACCTGAGTTCACCAAACTGTACATATATCACTCTAATGAATAACATTTCTTGGCATGATTTCTGAAAAAAAGCATTGTTCATTACCTGAGAGAAGAGCACGAGGAAATACCACTGTACTGTCATTTATATGACTTGAATATTAATGTTATACAAAAATTGAAAGCAATGAATGTTCAAAATGCAAAATATCCTCAGTTGCATCAAAAAAACTGTGACCAGCAGGTCAAGGGAGGTAATTCTGTCCCTCTACTCTGTTCTCATAATACCCCATCTTGAGTACTGTGTTCAGTTCTGGTGCCCTCGAAACAAGAAAGACAAAGAGTTATTGGAATAGGTCAAGAGGAGGGCCATCAAGATTATCAGAGCGCCTCCCCTATGAGGACAGGCTGAGAGAATTGGGACTCTTCAGCATGGAGAAAAGGAGGCTCTGAGGAGACTTTATAGCAGCCTTCCAGTACCAGAAGGGGACCTATAGAAAAGCTGGGGAGGGACTTTTTGTAAGGGCAGTTAGTGACAGAATGAGGGGAAATATTTTTAAACTGGAATAGGGTATCTGAAGGCTAGATATTAGGAAGAAATTCTTTTCCATGAGGGTGGTGAGACACTGGAACAGGTTGCCCAGTTAGGCTGTGGATGCTCCCTCCCTGGAAGCATTCAAGGCCGGACTGAATAGGGATGTGAGCAATCTGTTCTGGTGGGAGATTGTCTCACTTCAATTTATAGGAGGGAGAGGAGGTTCCTAGATATATGTATACTCTATGGGAGATTAAGGAACAGCGGTTCAAATGTTGGTCCAACCAGTTAATTACAAATCCTAATTAATCAGGGAGATTGGGAAGGGGAAGCCAGCGACAATTATGACTTAGGGGGATGGGGAAGGGAAAGCAGGAGATAGGGAAGACAGGAAAGTAGTAAGAATTACATAAAACAGGGATAGTAACCACCAAAGTCTAGCAGCATCCTATTGCACACCGTTCCAATACTCCAAGGTCAATATGAGAGCAAAAGTCCAGGGGAGAGCAGCAGCAGAGTGGCAGACCTTAGGCTGCAAGCAGGTACAGTGACAAAGCAGGTCCAGGAGAGTCCGTTGGCAGGCAGGTATCATGTCACAAGGCATCTGATGCCTCTTTCTGTCCATGGAATATCAGGCAATATGATCAGGAGATAAGCTACAAGATGGCTTGTCTTGCAAAAACTGGAAAAAAATAAAGGTGTTGCATTGCCTCCTATGGTACTGACCTAAAACCAGGCCAGGACCAAATGACTGCACGTACACACCAATATGATGAACAGCAAAATGGCGTTTATTACACGTGAACTCTAGCTTATATAACCTATGTGCTTTGTCTACGCCCCTAAGGGCACGTGCTACACATCAATCATAGAGCAGGGAGAGGGCCTATCGCGTTACATTCCGTGGGGGAGTCTTGCAGTCGCCTACAACATAAAGGAAAAATTACCTCCCTCATCTGGTAGCAGATAGTCCTGCAGTAGCAGAGATATGCCTTTTTGTGATCTTTTTTTAATTGGTGGGTTTTTTTTTTGTTTTTTTTTGTTTTTTTTTTTTTTTTAACTTTGTGCATCACTTCAATCTGAATAATATGCTAGTCTCCAAGTATTTTGCAGGTGAGCTCTACAAATTACATTCTCAGCACAGTTTGTCTGAGAACTCCTATTGTTTATATCACATCTCCTTGCCATCTTGAATATTACCACCCCAAAGAACAATTATATGTCTAATAGTGCATAAAGTGAGGATTTTTCATGGAAAGTAAAGTTGAATGATCTTGCATGATGTGTGCCACAGATTTCATATATGCTGTGGATATGGACCACTTGACTAGTGCTCATGAAGTTCCTTATTTAAACTCCAGACATGGATATTCATGAAGTTTTCTTAAATCTCTGATGATTTCAGACTATTTTACAAGTCACTGAATAATGAAGCAGAGTTAATACAGAGATGAGGTAGTGATGGTTGTGTCGTAACAGTTTAGATGCAGAAAATAAATCCAAAAAAGAGATTTATCACTTCTATTCTTAAAATTTCTGCTTGAAGAAATTTCTGCTTGAAAAAATTTTAGGGAAATGATTCTGTAATAGGGTTGAACATAGAAATTATTAGTAAATTTGTAGACATAAAGTAATTGTGACCATGTAAGTTTAACCAGTGATTAAATTTTGTCCTCTCACCAATCTTATAAAAACAGATGTAAAAAAATCTATGCACTTACATGAACATCAAGGGTGGTGTTTTAGTATTACATTCTTATTTAAATGGAATACTTGTCTATGTAATTGTTCTTTTTTTTTTTTTTTGCCTCATAATCTCAGAGTGATGCTTGTTGTCAGCTTTATGATCAGTTAGGGAAGAAAGTAATCTGTGTCAAAATGTACAACTTGCTAGAAACTGAATTTTGACAATGTTTTCAGAAACTTACAATTCACTAATTATGATGAAATGAAATTTCAAATTCCTGTTTGGCCATTGTTTCCACAACAAAAATCCTAATTTATCCTAATTTATTCTAATTTATTTGTAAAAATTTTAAAAGAATTCAGAAAAACACTAAGACATCCTTAAATTTCAACCTTAGGTTTAAATCAGGACTCTGTTAAATTTTAATTAATGTATAAATGTGTGGGAAAATTTTTAATTTCATATATGCACTGTTACATATTTTTGTAAACACTTTCCATTTACTGTCATCAGTAGATTTAATCTCATTTTTTGTGGCTTGTGAATACCTTTATAATATATATATTTAGTATCTTTTTTTTCCCTCAAGATAATGTTGAAATCTTTACTCAAAACCTTGGAATAAAATTAAATCATGTGATGTTTTATTTACAAAATGTTAAGCACCACAAATTCCACAGAAGCATAAGATTGGATTGCTCTTTTTTTTTTTTAAATAAAACAGTTTTTATTGATTGTTATGGAAACTATATTTATTGGTTGCTCTGTGTTGTCTATTTTTTCGAGACTATTAGAGGGTAAATTTATCTATGTTAAATCCAAATCTGTGAGTATGAAACAGATCACTTCCCATTTTCTGTCACCACGTACTTAAATAAAACCTAGAAGGTGCTAATCATGTCTGAATCCTTGACAAAATTTGCAAAATAAATTTAAAAATCTTTTTATTTTCTCACATTTTGTATTTCACTTGTTTGTGTCCTGCCCTTGGGCTCTTTCATCTGACTTGAGTCAGGAATTAGCCTGATCATAGAATCATATAATTAATTAAGCTGGAAATGACCTTAAAGATCATTTAGTTTTAAACTCTCTGCCTTAAGTAGGGTTGCCGATTACAAGATCAGGGCACCTAGGGCCCCATCCAAACTGCCCTTGAACTACATAGCTTCTTTAGGCAGCCTGTTCCAGTGCCTCACCACCCTCTGAGGAAACAATTTCCTATTAACATCTAAACTAATTCTCCTTTCCTTTGGCTTAAAACTGTTCTCCCTATCATTATAAGATTGTGCAAAAAAAAAATTGTTCTCCATCTTTTTTGTGAGCCCCTTCTTTTGAAAGGTTGCAAGAAGATTTTGAAACCTTCTCTTCTTCAGGCTGAATAAGTTCAACTCCCTCATGGGCAGTGTGTCTAGCCCTTTAATCCTCCTCATGTTCCTTCTCTGCACTTGTTCAAGCAGCTCCACATGTATCTTGTGATCTGAGTAAATAGAGCAAGCTAAGGAAAAGAGAACTAAGCAGATAAGGTGTGGGGTTTCTTTATGTTTTGCTTTGTTTTCTTTTCTTTTTTCTCTATTTTTTTAAATTAGCTATGTGTTTTGGGTTAAGCTTAATCGTCACAAGCTTATATATCTCCTGACCGGAATTGCATGGATAGACCTCATATTGATAAATGGTTTTCATACAGACTTTCTACTCACTTTAAGAGGCAAATGTAAATTAATAAACTGTGCTTTATTTCTTCATATATGGATCTCTACACCCAAGTCTCATGGAAAAGCATTGTGCAGAGTCATTCAGTTTAAAAGTGACTTTAAAAGTTCACATAGTCCAGAGAGAATTATAATCTCCAGTTAAACAATGGTAAATAAAATAATTTCTAAGATTTTTTCTTGAAGAGCTTTGTCTAATTGAGTAAGAGTTACTTTGTTGACTCGTTATAAAATTTAATTTGTAAGTGACAAAAAGGAGTAAATTCACATTGAATTTTAATATTTAGGAATGGTTGCATACATTAAGTACTCTATATCTCGTTTTACAAGAGTTTCTAGGTATTACCTAAAGAATTTTGAAGCAAGTGCATCTTAAATTCTTTTTTTTTTTTTTTTTTTTTTAAATTAGAATTCTGTAAATTCCAATATTTTTCATTCCTTTTTTAGGTGCTGGTGGTTGGTCTCCACTTGTGTCTAATAAATATCAATGGCTTCAGATTGACCTTGGTGAAAGAACTGAGATAACTGCTGTTGCTACTCAAGGTGGTTATGGGAGCTCTGACTGGGTAACAAACTACCTTCTAATGTTCAGTGATAGTGGACGAAACTGGAAACAATATCGTCAAGAAGAAAGCATTTGGGTATGTTACTTCAATAATGAGAATTAGATTTCTCCAGAAGACATAAAATTATTGGAGATGTGTAGTAAGCAAGGGAGTGGAATAAAAAGAACTACAATGAAAATTTTGAAACAATTAGATGCATGAAAAATTCTAGCTTTTGACAAGATAAGGAGCACTGAAAAGCAAACAAACTTAAAAAATTTGGCTTTAACGTTACTCCATTATGTGACTCAAGAATGTATTCTGAAGACTAGAGTATTACTGCAAAATCTCATTTTTTCCTTCTGTGTGTGATAAAATTGTTTTCCTGAAATATTGACTGTATTGATTTCATATCAAATTTGCTTTTTCATTGAAAACAAAAAAAGATATAAAGGTATTGTATGGGAACTGCTGAGTCACGGCCTGAACCTCTGATTAATCACCTGAGGTGAGCCTTGAGTCAGCCAGAGGAGCACAGGTGAAGGCAATTCACCTGTGCTGCCGGAAGGGGTGGAGCCTGGCTCCACCCCTCCTGGACCTATTTAAGAGCTGGCTACCAGAGGGGAAGGATCTCTTCTGGAGATCCCCTCTTTTGGTGTCTTTTGGTGAGCTCAACCGAAGGGTAAGCTCTTCCACTTATTCTCTTTTGTTATCGTTGTCTGCTTTGCCTTACTCTCTTGATTATATTGCGATTATAACATCTTGATATCTATTGATTATACACAATTATATTGTGATTATAACATCTTGGTTATACAGGTATGCAGATAGAAACATTTCATTTAAGTGTAATTTTTGTTCCTAATTCGAAGTCTAGATTCTGATATTGATTTGATATTTTAAGCATTTTTTCACCTATTATCTTTGTAGCTAATAATTTATAAGTGCGACTATGTCCATCACATCCCATTAATGCTAAGTTTAATAAGAGTTGAAGATTTTCAGTAACAGATAGATAATGTCCAGAACAGAAATAGAACATTGAATAATATGTTTAGACTATGGTTGTATCTGTTTTTGATCCCCAGCATCTACAGACTGGATTATTGGAATAATATTAGTGTCTTTGTACTCTGATTTCATTTTGTCATTCTTCTTCTATCCAAATGAAGAGCTGATTCATTTTTTTTTAAGTTTTACAAGACTTTAGGTTTCAATGTTTTTTGCTACAATTAAATATTATGTTAAATGTATTTCATTTTGTGCATTTGAATTTTGACTTTTATTTATTATCAGTTTGCTCTCTCAGATTAACCTCTCTCATCTCTTTGGTTGCTGAATGTGATTAGTCTTCACTTCTCTACATGACAGGAACTGATCTAAAAAGAATTATAGCAATTTTGCGATGTATATTGATCTTAGCATTCTCATTGACAGTTCACTGATGACATAAATGCGTGCCTTACTTGCTATCTTACATCAGTATGTTTATCTTTCAGATAGATTTCATTTAGCATTTAAAATCCTTTAATCATGAAGATACTTCTGAAAAACTGATTCCATTACATTTACTAGGCTTCGTCTCATAGATTAACTGTCTCTTTAGTTTGTAATAATTTAAAAGTAAATCTTTTAACATTTTTAATGAAAAAATGAAGTATGTTTTTTTCTGTGTATATTAGTAGGCTTTTATTTTATGTTTAATTTTCCATTTCATGTATCTTAGCTGACAAAAAAATGGAAAGTTTTTTATGCACACACATACATATATGCCATCATTTTCTCAGTCTTCTGAGTTGATATGGAAATAATTTACTTCTAACATTTACAGTTTTGATGATATGTAATAAAATTTTATAAAGAGTGAATTATATGGCTGCACATATTCCCAACTTCCTCTGTAAAGGATTTGGATTTTAGGGATCTTGAGCTCTTTAGTTTGACCGGGGGTCCTGATTCACCTATGCCAGTCTCTTGCCTTCTTTTCCTGACTTCTTACATCTGCGGAAAGAGAGCTCTTCCTTAAAGATCATAGAATCATAGTATCACCAAGATTGGAAAAGAATTCTAAGATTATCCACTTCAACCATCCACCTATCACCAGTTTTTCCCACTAAATCATCTCCCTCGGTACAACATCTAAATGTTTCTTGAACACCTCCAGGAATGGTGACTTCACCACCACCTTGGGCAGCCCATTCCAGTGCCTGACTGCTCTTGGAGAAAAGCTATTTCCTAATGTCCAACCTGAATCTCCCCTAGCACAACTTCTTGTTATTCCCTCTAGTCTTATTGCTAGCTACATGAGAGAAAAGGCTGATCCCCATCTCACCACAACCTCCCTTCAGATAGTTGTAGAGAGCAACAAGGTGATGCCCAAGCCGCCTCCTCTCCAGACTGATCAATCCCAGCTCCTTCAGGTGCTCCTCATAAGGTTTGTGCTCCAGAGCCCTCAGCAGCTTCATTGCCCTTCTCTGAGCCTCTGAAGATCCAGGGCCTCAACAGTAGATCAAGATCTATGATAGATCTACGAGCTCTCCTCTTCACCCTTGCCCGTGAGAACAGTTTCCCAGGCTGTTTTGTTGACTAACTCCCTGAAGAGCTGAAAGTTAGCTTTCCTAAAATTTGGCATCCTAATTTTACTTTTGCCTGTATCATATCCCTCAGGAGAGTGAATTCAATCATAGCATGGTCACTACAGCCCAGGCAACTTCCAATCCTGGTGTCACAAATCAGATAATTTGCACTGGTGAGCAACAGTTCCAGTACTGCATTCTCCCTTTTTGGGCTGTCTATTACTTCATCTAGGATGTTAACGTCAGTGCATTCCAGGAGCATTTTGGCTTGCCTACATCTCGCCATGCTACTTTTCTAGCAGAAGTCTGGGTGGTTGAAGTACCCCAGCAGCACTAGTGTTTGCAGTCACGACACCTCTTGTAGCTGGAGATGGAAGGCTTCATTAACAGGCTCTGCTTGATCATGTGGCCTGTAGTAGACACTGATCACAAGGCTTCCTTTGCTGCCTCTGTCTCTGTCACCCACAGGCTTTTAACTTGTGCATGACTATTCTTTAGGGACAGCTTTTTACATTCTATTCCTTCCCTGATGTAGATAGCAACACTCCCTTCCCTCCTTCCTCACCTATTCCTTCTGAACAGCTTGCGGCCATTGATAGCCACATTCCAGTCATACAAATTATCCCACCAGGTTTTGCTGACAGCTGTATTATCATGGTTTTCTAGTAGCACAGTGGCTTCCAGCTTTTCCTGTTTGTTTCCCAAGCTGCATGCATTGGTATAGAGGCACATCTGGGCAGCTGGTCTTGTCAGGTTTTTAGAGGATAACTACTTAATTCCTTTTAAGTATTTCACTTGAGTTTCCTTGTTGCCTTCTCGTATTGCCCCAGCAGTTACTGCCTCATCTTCAGAGGTTTTTGTATGTACTGCTGGTGTTGCCAGTACTTCTCAGAGCAGCAGGTTGAGGACCTCTGCTAGCACCCTGTCCTTCTCACATAGCTATGGCATACCACACCTTATAATGGGAAGGCTCACAATTCCCCCCACCAAAACTGTTCATTATTCTGAACAGATTCTAAGTTCTAAAAGGATATGAGTTGTTTCAGGGTATGTTTGGATCTGAGAGACAGTATATCTCAGAGAAACAGCAAGCAGAACCTGCCTAACCAATATTACCTACCAACCCTTGAGAGATGGATTAAATGCTATACAGGATAAATAACTGGAATTATACTTATATAATATAATAATATAAATATATATAAATATAATAATATAATAAAAATACACTGGAATAATAGGTAGAATCAGCATTGTGCACTTTTCCCCACCAATCCACTAGAACCCACCTCCTGCTTTTAATCTCTCGAGGGTCCGCAGGATTTTTTCCAGTTGTACAATGCATCTGCATGGCCAGCACATGGTGCAGAGCCTAGGTGGAACACCTGCATACAAGCTCAACAATCTGCAAAACAAGATAACCGGCAAGGTCAATACCCTATCAAAACAAGATAAGCAGCTCCAGCTGCAAATACTGTTTTCCTTAAAACTGGCATGCAACCCATGCTTCTAGTCATGTAGCAATCCAGTTTTGTTCCCTATCAGAACCCACTGTTCCAACTCAGGATCATTCTTCAGTCAGAACCTTTTGTTATATTTATCTTTAATAAACATTCAAGATATAACTAATGCCATTGTTGTGTCAAACAGTCAAGAAGTTTGACAGAAAGTGAACTCCCCTGTGCTTCAGCTTGTCTTCAGATATCAGAGGATTTGAGGGTGGCTAAGATTTTGGGTGATGCCTAGGTCAGTGCTTTTAGTGCAGTCATGTTCAATAAAATGAATCATCAGAATTAGTGATGGACCAATAGCATCACGCTTCTTTGATCTAGTTGTGTTTGAATGAGCAAACATGGCCATCCTTAAAGAGCTTAATCACATTCAGATCACAGTCTTGGATGGGCTAATGAATAGCGCTTTTGGATTGTCAGTGATAAATACACTGTCTCCAGAGCACGTGGAAGTACCAAGAATACGAATAATGCAGCTGATGACAAACATTTTAATTATGGAACAACTCCACAGAGGCTTCTAAGTTTTCCAGGAAAATATTTGGCATAACTTAGGACATCCCAACTGGTGTCCATCTGGGGGTATTTAGATCAGCATATCAGCTGATTCAGCTATGCTGAGTCAGCAATGTTCTCCTGATTTTTCTGTAAGTAGTATTGTGTTTTAAATTTCTCCTCTCCTAAGTTATTTTTATAGCATTTTCTTACTTTCAAGTAGAGTTTGAGTAACACTGGTCACACACAAACACACACATATATATATTTATTGCAATTGGTGTGACAGAAAGTGAAAAACTGCTGTGACAGTTATGCAGTTTATCAGTTCCAAAATATAGAATGTAGCTGCAGTATTTACATTCCACTCCACCTTCCATGCTATATCTCTTAGAGACAGCATATCAAGATCCTCTGGTATTACCAGCAATTCAAGGTTTCAGTTTGTATTGCATAGAGAACGATCATGGAACAGACTCTTTGTATGCTCACCTCACTGCACTCTGGAGCTTTC